CTCTCTCTCTCTCTCTCTCTCTCTCTCTCTCTCTCTCTCTCTCTCTCTCACTGTTGAATTGTGGTATCTGTACGGCAACAATATTGCATTGCGCTTTGGCCACCTGTAGTCTCTCCACCCTTTTTCTATTTTCGTTTGGTGTTCGCCCTTAGGCCTTTACTCCACTCGTTACCCACCGAATTGTCATGACCTCGGATATCTCCACGCTACGATCTCCAGAATATTTTTTAAATTTCATTTCTTCAATTGTGAGAGGCTTTTTCACTTCCGAATGGAAGCTTTGGAGGCGGTCGAATTTAAGTTTTAGATTTTTTGTGTGATATCATGCATTCGTTAATGAATCGATGGAATATATTTTTTTTTCAAATGAAAAATTTAATTCATTTATCAATTTTTAGAATTCTCGAATTTTTTGAAAATCGGCTGTCCCACGATAAATAAAAATTTCTGAATTCATTGAATGGTGAGTTGAAAGAATTGGTTCAATGTCCCTTCAAATCACATTCGATAGAAAAAAATGATGTGCAAAATGGAATTTCCCGCTTGTTTTTCAATTGTGGTGAATAAAATTAAAAATCTAATCTTCATCTTTTCCAATCGTAAACATTTCTCCTGCCCCATAAACTTGGTTTCTAAATCGTAAATATTTTCATTATCATTATGTACCTTATACCCATTCTTTATAGCGTTTTAATCTTTTGATTTTTACGATTTTTTTTAGTTATGAATGTTTTACACACGAACCAAATTTTTATTTTTCGTTTTGAAATAAATTTTAATCGGATTTTTCTGTACAAGTGAAGTGAGTGTAAATTTGCAGGTACATTTAGCCTCAAAAGATCGATTTTTCATCGAATTCTAAAAAAAAATTATGTTAGACTTGTTCCACGATTAAAAATCTAATCTTCAATTTTTTCAATTGCAAACAGTTCCCTTGCCTCATAAATTTGGTTTTTAAATCAATATTTTCATTATTATTTCATGTTATACCCATTCTTAAAAATAACGCTTCAATTCTTTGATTTTGACCATTTTTTAAATTAATGAATATTTCAGGCAAGAACTGAATTTTCAATCTTTTTTTTGACATTCACCTTCAATTATATTTTATTTCTCCAACTGCAGTGAGCGAAATTATTCTTGCCTAGTTTTGAAAGACATTATCCATTCTTCAAAATAAGATATTTTAAATCCGAAGCGATCGATTTTCCATCGACCTATCGAAGATTGTTTCTATCCTCACCATTACGTCCTCAAAATTCCCCTTCCTCCCCAATTTTGTACCTGAAAAACCAAGACAAACCCTCCACAAAAACGAGAATTCCCCAGAAAAAACCGAATTCCAAAGTGAAATAAAAAATTAACTTCAGAAACTCCCGTGCCGAAATGACGTCTATTTCTTTCAATTCAATTCATGGCATATCCCCAACTATTGACCACTACTACTGACCCCTTGCCCTGTCGCCCCCAGAACCCAAAATTCCGGACTCGCTATTAATTAACACTTACAATCAAGGCGAAGATATCACAAGTGTCTCCTTTGTTTCCCCCATTATTCCCGCAACCACGTCTCTCCCCTCATAAATTCTGCAACTTGTGTTTCATTCAATTCACAAGACCCGCACAATTCACCCGTAGAAGCGAAAACGGCCGAAAAAAAAACCCACTCATGAGAGAAAAGAAAGAGCGTGACGTCACCCCGACAACTTTCAGGCCTTCCTGCTCACGATATATCCGACAGTAATAGCATTTAATTCAGCGGTACTAGTTACTTTATGAAAAAGCAATGTATTACGAGTAGTCTAGGCGCACGCTATTCCGCCGCCCCGAGTATCTGCGGAGTTTTGAAAGAACCTTTTATTCCGATTTTCTTCGTTACTCTAAAAAAAAAATTATATTTTCCTCCCAGTGATTGTTGGGGTCCCATTAAGAGGAGAACGACGCCTCGGCACGTTAAAACTCTCGTGCACAACTGATTATTGTGTCGCGTTCGTTGCGCTGAGTCGCACACGAGTCTAACCGCAACGTTTATTCCCTCGTTTTACTGTACACTAATACCAGTCTGTACACTGGTCTGTACAAAGACCGCCCTTTTCCTCATTCTATCGCTATGACTTATTCCCACACATTCTAATCTTCTACATGTGTTTTTTTCAATTCTGGGATGGTCACAGCATGTGACTCTATACCCCTGTATAGATGTTGCTCTAGTCTCGTATTCTATTTTATTTCTTGGAAAATTATGCAGCTGTTGCGAAGTGGAAAAACTACATGATATCACTTCACACGAGTGTTTTTTTAAATAAACATTGCGAAATTGAGACAATTTTTTATTTATGCATTTTTGGTAGTGCGAAAAAATAATTTTCAATCATGTTTTGGTTTGTCTCTGGCTGCGTCGAAATCTGAAGCAAGTATTGAGATTTTTGGATGCGAATTCTCACAGAGCGAAATGAGCGAAATTAGTTAAATCTGGGTAAAATAATAAAACGAGTGAATTATTTTCAAACATTCAAGATAAATTTTCACGGTGAACATTCTCATCGTTTTTTCGGGGAGAAAAATTGAGCTAAACGAGCAGAATGAGCAAAACGAGCTCATGATTTATTGAACTTGCTCGTGTTTTGATGTTTTTGATCATCAGAAAATTCCTGACGAATGGCTGAATTTTCCGAGATATATATTTCGTAATTAATTGTGGAAGGTGAGCGCAAACGAGCAGAGCGAGCGAAATGAGCAGTAGACGATTTAAACTCTCTCATATTCATATTCTGATCAAATATGAAGAAATCCAGGAAAGATGGCAAAATTTTGCCATCTGTTTTCATACATTTTATTTTTTTAATGAGCGAAATGAGCAAAACGAGCGGATGACGTATTGAATTTACTCATATTTTACCGTTTATTAAACATCAGAAAATCTCGGACGAATAGCGAAATTTTCCGAGATATATATTTACTAATTAAATGCACGAGGTGAACGAAACGAGCAGAGTAAGCGAAATGAACACTAGACGCGTTAAACTTGCTCATAATTATATTCATATTGAATTTTTAAAAACCAGAAAGGATGGCAAATGTTTCCACATACATTTTATAAAACAAAATGAGCGAAACGAGCAAAATAGGATTGAATGTCTCAAAATCCACGACGGCTACTGCAATTTCCGCACAAGGCCATGATTTTTTTGCTGTACTTGAGATGGTACAATGCACCAAGTAACATCTCCTCCACTGAATTTACCCAGCGACAACATTTACGTTAGCGAAACAAGCGTTTCAACTTACAAAAGAAAAAACCTTGATCGCCGATTTAATTATATCAAAGTATTTTTTTTCCACCCTCCACCCACTGGCGCTTGTATATTCAACAGTTACTCCCTGAATTGAATATTTTCATATCAATTATCACTCTTCCTTTTTTGGAGTCATTTTAACAACCACTAGAAGATCCACTCAATGTCAAGTGCAGCATGAAATACGTGAGATATTATCGTATTTGATTTGCCGCGCGTTTCAAGTGCATTTCAACTCTTTCCACTTAATCTACCGAACTACACTGGGGGAGGGGGTAAAATCTAATAATAAATTGAAGAGCAGTCATCAAGTCGTGTTCTACCATTATCAATTTATCGGTGAAAATTCTATTCCCGGAAACAGTTGTTCTCGAAATCCCCAGGTTTCAATTGATCCGTTAAAATTCATTACGACTTACTCCTCAAATGTATGATTAATCCCACGCGTATTCAACAATGTTTCATTCAGTGGGAGATATTCCGCTGGATTTTTATCGGGGATGGAGCCGGGGAGATTAAAACTCTCGGGATATTTTAGACTAATGGAATAAGTAATGGTGGGAGAGAGAAAAAAATTCTCGTGGGTTGAGCATTTAGTCCGGAATTTTTTTTTTTCGTTCCTGCGGTTTTCAAATTCAGCAGTTTTTTTATCTCACGAAATTTATAGCTAGTGGGGCACAACGGGTGGCTTTTTCATCCCGAGGAAAATTTTCCGGGCTTTCCAGTGGCACCAGGAAATCACTATCTCGACGGGTTTTATTTTTTTATTCGTGTGGGCGACCGATTGTTATTGATTATCGAATTATTAACATTTAAAAAATTGTACATACCCAGTAGTGTAAATCCGGCGAGGTCAAACAACACTATATCGAGATAATACAGCGGGGGTGGAGAGGCATAGTCCCTGTTGTTACTTGTATTCTTTGCGACGCGTAGTGCTACGACTACGTTGGGCCGCTTGCGCGATCATGGGAGGTAGGCAACTAACTGGAGGTTGCTAGTTCACTGGGTGAAGCTCATCCTCCCCTTGGGTATAAAAAAAATATCCACCCTCCATGGAGCCGAGTGGTGACGATGTTGCCCGACGGGTTTAGCGGGGTGAATTATTGTCCGGCGGCTGCGCTCCGGGTATTTATTTCCGTTTCTCGTACTCTAGCCCATTCTCGATTCATTGTGTTTTTGATACTTGGCACGGAGCCAAGATACATTTTTTTTTCGAGGATTAACGGGGAATTGCGCGGACAGTTGATTGGTTCAGATGCGGTTTTCTTTTTTGAAAGATTGAAAAATAAATTTTTTTTTTGAATGAAGTTTTAAGGAATTTCGGCTCTGGAAATTCGAGATTTTATGGAAAATCAATGGAAACTGTGGATTTCAAGTCAATTGTGCCGTTGAAATCAATAGAAATTAGGGAAACAGTAATTTGGTACTGAATATTCATATTTTCATTGAAAATTCAAGTAAATTCGGAAATTCTTGTCTTTGTGGTGCTAAAAAATTTGGAATTTCATTGAATTTTCAGGGAAATCCAATTAAATTCAACGGACATTTGATTAGTTCAGATCATTTTTTATTAAAAGAGATTGAGAATTTTTAAAAAATTTTTTTCAATTTTTTTATCGAAATTTCAAGGAATTTTGTCAGTAGGAATACGAAAGTTTATGAAAAATTAATGAAAATTTTCAATTCCAGTTCAATTATTCCATTAAAATGAATAGAAATTAGGGAAAATCAAGTAAACATTAATTTGGTACTGAATATTCGTATTTTCATTCAAAATTCAAGTAAATTAGGAAAATTGTTTTTTTCTAGCTAAAAAATTTGGAATTTCATTATTATTTTCAGTGAAATCTTAATTTAAAAAAAATTTCTTTTCTTAAAAATCATAAAATTTTAATTTTTATCTAGGTTTAAATTGGGTGTATAATAAATAAAAAATTCCACAAACACATTGTCATTACTCATTATTTATTGTTTCTCTTTGTCAATCTGAATTCCTTTCGGGTAAATAAAAATTTCGGGGTTTTCCGTAAGGTGCGGCGACAATCGTGTATTTTCCAGATTTTTAATTCCTAATCCTAGGATTTATTATTGATTAAGTCCTGTAATACTTTCACACCCTCGTCTCCTCAATTTCTCTTTTCTCAGCAAAACAAGGGGTTTCAATCATTTAGTCTACTACAATAATCATTCAACGAGAAGGAGATCCGTGGTTGCTTTATCATCCGGGGTGATTAGTGAATGTACAAATACATCTGATTGACACTAAAAGTTTTGTTTATCCAATAACCTAACAGAGTATTTCCCTCTCCAGTGGCATTAAAATTTCGGTAATAAAAAATATACTTTATTTCGTACGAAAAAATTCACTCAATGTGTCATACGGTGCAATAAAACTGCATAATCGACATTTTTCAAAAATAAAAATTACATAAGTACTTTCAATTCATCAATTCGCATTATCAAATTCATCAAAAAAAAATTGAATACACAAAAATAAAGTTGATACAAATAAAAAACGAAACATTACTTCCAAATTCACTAACATTTTTGCACATATTCCGGCATTTGAAAATTATAAAGATCGTCGACTCGTTTTGTTAATCGAATTTATTTACAAATAAATCACTCTGACATACGTTAATAACATGTATAAACTCTATTAAACATTATCAACAGAATACTGAAAAAATAATATGTACACGAGAGGTTCCACACCCCCTGTCATTTATTCATCAATTTATTATTTTTTTTAAGCTGCGAAACTGTTTGCTGCAGTCACACGAAGTACATATGCGTTAGTATATACATATATTGAAATACGGAAATGGCAAATAAGCTTAGTGTGGCTTAAATTCACTGCATGTTGACCCCTGTTCAATAAACTGAATCTAATCCTCATTCGCTATTCTTCAATTTCTCTTTCTACTGAAATCCTAGGTGTGTAGTATTTATTTATTATGACACTTTAATGTTCTCTTCGTATTTGTGATGCACCCTCAGACCCGTGGCAATGTAATTATCTCGTTAAACAGATTGTATTTCGTTTCTATTTATGAATTATGTGATTTCATCCCAATGATTTGCTTTTAGCATACGAAAAAATTTATAGAAAAACCTAGTGAATTCGCTAGAAAATTCCATTAGATTTTGATTGAAATTTCTATTAGTTTTTGGATGATTCTATTTGAAAGTTCCGCTGTTACTGCGTTTTTTTTTCAATAAAAATGTTGAATGGAAAATATTCTATAGCGTTTTGCAGAATGCTATAGATTTTCTATAAAAATTCCTCGACAATTTTTTTCATTACATTTACTTCTACTTTTATTTAAGCTGACGAACTTCTATAGAAAATATTCTATAGAATTCTGTAGAACGCTATAGAATATCATCTATAGATTATTTTACATTTACGTTTTATTGTATTCTATAGAAAACACTCTATAGCGTTCTTTAAAATGTTATAGAATAGTATCCATGATATTCTATAGAATACTATAGAATATTTTCCCTAAAGAATTTTCGGCTTAAATATTCTCAGTTTTTCATTTCATTATTTCTCTTTTTATTTACGCCGAAGAACTTCCACAGAAAATACTCTATAGAATTCTGTAAAATGCTATAGAATATTTTCTATATAAATTTTTTGACTCAATTTTTTTTAGTTATTTTCTTTGATATATTTTTTATGAAAAGAAAAAAAATTCAGTGAAAAATCATATCACCGAATTTCTATAGAAAATGTCACAATAAAAACAGTGGTATAGAAAAATGAAATCAAATGAAGCTGTGGCATTCTTCAATAAAATGGGTCAAAAATATAATTTTCAAAAGAAATTGAATGGAAATTTCTATAGAATTCTCCAGGATTTTCCATGAAATTTCATGCATAAGATAATCCCATATGTATCAATTGTTCAAAGATACATAAAGAATATAAAGAATGTATTTCAATAAAGAGAAGATAACTATATTTACATTATGTATTATGTCATTTACAATTCATGCACGAGTCCCTCGGACCTCTCGTTGTACATTCTCATCTAAATAAAATTCTAAACATCAAAAACCACATTATTTTTGTTCATCGTTTCTTTGTACATTTTATAGGTAATAGGTACTAGTTAAACAATGTATTATTAAGAGTACATTATTTATAGTTTAATCATCAACGACTTTATCATCGAAAATGCATTTATGACAAGACTGTTGTGTTATTAATTTTAAGTCGTTGATCATTACTTGTTTCTCTTGTTTTTTTATTATTTTATTTCACCTGCTAATGACTGAAAGTATCCCTCATCATGTCAATATTTAAAAGAAATGTGAGCAGTATTAATGGTCAATTAACACGGAAATTGAGAAATTATTGGACCCTGGCCGGTCAGATCCGCCACTTTGCGTAGCGTTGATACTTAGGCTCGAGTTGTCTCGCTAACTCCTCCAAATCCTCGGATACTTGGTATTCATATCCCCTACGCAGTTGTATTTCCTTGGGCTTTGTTGTTTCCCCTTGCTCCTCGTTATACATCACCTCGACTTCCTCTTCCTCTTCCTCTTCCTCACTCGACACTGGAAAAGCCCCAAAAACATCAATCCCCGTAACAACTACAAGCCGAGAATGAAGAAGGGAAGGGCAAGATACAATGAACCTTCTTAAATCATTTTAAAACATCTCCTGACTAAATGACACAATTTGAACGAGTCAAGTCTCATTTTGAAGCTTAAAAAACCTGCAAAATGAGATTAAAAAATTGGTCAATTTCAGCCAATCTCGACTTATCAACGATCACAGAACACTGAGAAAAATAAATATTCCCAAATAAGTCTCGTTTGAACCAAAAAATCGCTAATTGAAAATGGCCAGAAAAATAAAATCTAATGCTGATGATTAGAAGACTGTCCTGAGATGAATAATTTCTGTTGAAAAAATAGATCGTAAGGACAGTTTGAAAAAATTTCTTTGTTTCTAAATAAATAATTGAAATTGTTTTTAAACTTTCGGAAACTTTTTTTTTAGGCATGAAATCGGTTTCTGGTAAAATTCTGGATATGACTAAATTTGTTACGATTCCGAACAAATGATTTTTATGGTGTAAAATTGATTGTTTATAAATCATTTATAAAAAATGCATCACGGATTGATAAACCAGCCTTTCTCGCAAAAATGAGAAATAAAATAACTTTTATTTATAAAAAATGATTTTCAAATTGACCTGCAAAGTTTAAATAAATAATAAAACCATTGTAAAACGTCCGGAAACTTGGGGTAAAATGCGGCTCAAAAGAAAGCTCCGATGTTCAACTACAAAAGTAGAAAAGCATCTCACAGGGAAAAAATAGCCAAGTACTCGGATATCCCTAAATAAAATAATAATGAAGATATGATAGCAATCTTGTCTCGTGTGAATGATCCGCCCCTCGCGCCAAATATTTCGCTGTTGTCTAACGCAGAGCAATCATTCATGTCTGAGCCTTTCAAATACCAATCAGACCATTTCTTTTTTTGGCCCGAGCAAGACTTGTTTAAAGACTTGTCCGTTTTCCTTTTAATGAAGGCCCATTCAATCCCCCTCTCCCCAAATTGGAAAGATTTTGTATTACTCGATACTTGAATTAGTCAAAGAAGTCAAGGGGACAATAGGACAAATGATATATTAAATAATGCCAGGATGATAACTAATAAATTACTGAATTGTTCAAGGATCACCCGAATAGCCCGCTGATAAAATGCAATCGTATCCCGAATTCGTCGACCGTTATCTTTCTCAATACGAAATCCTTCCGTAACTCCACACCATACAAAGCAAAATGCAGCAAAAAGTACTCTACAAGCTGATAAATAAATACCAAAGCGAAGCAGCCAACTCTCCCAAGGTCAAATTTCATGTTTTGTTTTTTTTTATTATTCAACTCACCTCGTGCTACTGCTGACCATCTGTTCCTCATGGCTTAATTTAGCTCCAATGATCGTCATATCAGTGTCGCCAATCATCTGCGTATCAGTCTGTATAATTTCCTCGTGTTCCTCACCATTATTAACAAAAACACTGGCTTTTATCATAATACTTTGACTGATGCTCTGGGATTGGTCATTGATCTCTGGAATGTCGTAAAACTTATCCTCAGAATCCTTGAAAGTCAGTGCATTCTCAACTCTAGTGCACACAGATGAGCATTCGGAATCAATACCCGAGTCAAGACTCTCCTGAAAGCTGTCTCTAATCTGCGGCGATGTCTCCAAATTGTCATCCGATACGGATACATTGGCCTCCTCAATCCCCGAGTCTTGGCTGTTCCTATGAACATTTATCGACTTATCGATGAATAAATTGGTGGGCGACCTAGATGTCTGAGGATTATCCAATTCTTCAACAAAACTCAACGATCTTGACCCGAAATTTTGGCCGCCGTCACTGATCAAATCATCGGCAAGAGTCGGCACAACATTCGATACTTTCAATACAATATTACCCTCACAAACACTATCCTCGATACTTGTACTCAAAACATCTGTTTTACGACTGTGATCTGGACAAACCGTCACAGTGGCCAAATTGGCACTGTCGTCCACCAGCAGCATTACCCCACTGAGAATGGACGCCAGTACATCCTCGACATCCTCCTCCGCAGACCTCCCATTCCCACTCCCATTCTCATTAAAATTATCATTAAAACAATCCTTAACCGGTAAACTTTCGCATTCCCCGTCATCCTTGCTGACCCCCTCCCCAATTAACTTACAATCACTAGTATCTTTGCATTCATTGTCCTCACCACCCCCTAAATTATGTACATCGTCCGCAAGTGTTGGATCCCTCCCCCCGCCACCAATTGGAAATACGATAGTGTCTCTTAATATACAACTGTTAATACTGTCATCCGTGCCATTATCACATATTGTTTGGAGCCCACCACTCACACTATCCCCAATGACACCCTCACAATCGCCTATCATAATCGAGTATTCCGATTTGTACACCACAGGTACGCTAGTATCGCCGTTACCATAATCTACTAAATCGATCGAATGATCTATCAAGTGTTGTGCATCATCGCCCGGAGGGGACGCACCTACTCTAGGATTATCGAGCTCGTTGTCGTCCTCCTGAACCCCCGACAGCCTTCTCGCGACCTCCTGAGTCTCGTCAACAGACTCCTGCGGCTTGACACAATGACTCATCGACTCGGCACTCAGCAGTTGATCGATACTCAGTGACTTGACAGGATCGCTCTTCGGAGTGACTGACTTCGAGGCGTCCGAGACGGACCTCTGCAGGGGCTGACGCGTGCTGTCCCTCAGGTACTGATGGAACTTGTCCCCAAGGGCCATCATACTGTTGACACTGCCCTGAAGGGAATTCTTCATCGGCACCTCCGCTCTCTCCGCGAATGCACCAGTGAACAGTGTTCCAGGGTTCTGGAAGAGGCCGAGTAGTCTCTCCAAGCTCGATTGTTTAGGTACATCAGTTATCTTTGGTTCATCTGGTTCTCTACTGTGCGACACCAGAGGTTCTAATGCTTGAGTTAAAGTTTTATTTACACTCGACTCCTGGGGATCATCGGGGGGAGCTGTAGGCGAATCATCTGGGCTGGCAATAACTGGTAAATTGTGTTTAGACACGAGATCATCGGGTTTTGGTGGCTCCTCGTCTGAGGAGTTTGAGATGGAGAGGAATTGCGTGGAGGTGGTGATGGTGGTGTCGACGTCGAAGACAGTACCAGAATCCGGGGTTCTGATTCTCTCTTCCGAGTCGGCATCGACGCTCGATTCACTTCCACGTCTCGAGTCCTCCTCCTCGGATCTGAAGACACTGTCGGAGTCGTCGGAATCGACTCGGTCGGGCATGTCTACCCGGTAATTAAAGCCAATTGTTACATTGGCACTCGTTGATACGACGTTTTTAATCGTTGGACTCGGTGGCACGTTGGACTCAACGACTGTAACGCGGAAGCGCGAGGACGAGCCACTACTTGTTGCCGGAAAAAAACACGTCGGTGATGAGGCTAAGGATGGGGGTGTTATCGGTGATGATGAGGCTGAGGAGTTAGTGGAGCTTAGTGATGCCTCGGAGACGCGTGATACGACGAAACGACTTCGCGAGGGACTGGGGATTGGGCTGGCAACCGGCGAGGGAATTGGTGATGGTGCTGGGGAACGCAGACGACCACCAGTTGTACGTTTTGGCTCGAGCATTGGTGTTCTAATGTTCGTATCACCGGTACCAGTTATGACTGTGGGTGAACGTGGCAGTGTCTGACATGTCAACGATATTTTACGGGAGTTAACGCTTGACAGACGACTACGGTGTTGGGGACTACCTGATTCCTCTGTACTTGAGTCTGTGGAGATGGGCTCGTCGTTACGAGTGCAGTAACCCCGGATTTCGGAGACTATTGCCAGGTAGGTCTCCATCATCGATGGCTGAAAGCAATTCCAGGGGGTTAGTAGCTGCCTTGGGTCGTGGACGGGGATGCGAAATGAGGTTGTTTCGAAATGCGTCAGGTCGGAAAAATATTACGGTCGGGTGACGTCAAGTTTTGATAGTCATGATTTTTTTGGTCGTAATCATGTCATTTTTTTATCCCTGGCGTGGTTTATTGGATAGTTACCTATCTGGCACGCTAACGACTGGGGTTCGTTCCCAGAGAATTGCTGTCGTTTAATATTTTTTTGGGGTGTGGTGCAGGAATGCAATATGACGTTACGTTTCGACATGCGTCAGGTCAGAAAAACATTACCGTCATGTGACGTCAACTTTTGAATGTCAGAATTTCGGTCACACTTTTCACGGCCATTGTAAACTAATTAGCTTATCGTAAAGTGGCAGTCATAGATTTTTTGGTCATAAAATTTTGTCATATTTGTTAACAATTCATATTTTCAATCATTTACGAATAAATTTCATAGAAAAACCTAGCGAATTCAATAAAAATTTAATTCAATTTCTGTTGAACTTTCTATTAGAAAAAAATTGCGAAGTCTTGTCAACATCCTAATATCATGTCAAGCATGTCTTTTAAATAGGAATTCCCCAGCTTAAATTTTCCAAATTTTCTTGATTCATTCTTTCAATAAAAAAACAAGAAAAATGAAGTGGAAAAAATTTGAAAAATTCATGTTGACGAATTCCTACAGAAAACGTGTCAATAAAAAACTGATGAAATTCTACTGATTTTTCCAACAGATATTTTTCGTGCGTGACTCCTCATGTCGATTTAAATCCATTGCTCATAGACTTGGCAATGCACTCGACGTCTTGTCACCATGAAACCAGGCTATCTCTTTTTCATGAAATTACCTTATTTTCGCATCCCCGCTGATGTATTAAATAGTTACTTGTCTGGCACGCAAACGGCTAGAGTTCATCCCCGCGTATCGTTTAATGAATATTTTTTCAATTCCCTAAACACAAAAGAATAATTACCGCTTTGCTCCAGGTCGTGTCATCCAGATCAATTTGCGTGATAGTAACATTTCTCTTCATAGCCAAGCACAGGAATGTCAAGCCTGTAAGCTGAATGTGATTGTCCCTGAGGTCTATCCTCTGTAGGCTCTCATTTTTCCCCACGACCTCAGCCAGCGCCATAATCCCTTTGTTCATCAGACCAGTAGCCTGAACCCCAAGTTGAAGTAATACTGTGTTATGCTTTAAAGCGTCCTTGCAGATATCCAGAAAATCATCGCTCAACCCATTGTGGCCAATATTGAGGGTCTCGAGGCTTTTCGATTGTGCCTGAAAAACAAATAATCCTTAACCCCATCAGTAAAACAATTCCCCATCACTAGCCCAATTTCCAAACGTACAATCGTTTCAGCGAAGTACTCAGAACAAATTTTCGACAGATGATTGTTCCACAGTATAAGTATCTTGAGCCCGCGAGTGCTTCCACTCTCACCCGACTGCGATACGAGGCCGTCCAAAATATTGTGAACACCCTCGTCCTTAATATTATTGTTACTGATGTCCAGCAGCTGCAGACAATTATTGATCCTCAGCAGCGATCCCATTTGTATCGCATCATCCTGTGTAAGATTATTATCAGCCAAGTACAATTCTTTCAGTCCAGTATTAGTTTTCAACGCAGCAACTGCAGACAAAACAAGCAAAACATTAGCCCTCATTCATCCACACGATATTGACAGCATTCCTTTGGAGAAAAAATTCTTTTGGCCCATTACCGAGTATAACAAAAGCCCGTCCGGCGAGGCCGCAATTCTCAACTTTCAATATTTGCAAGTGCGAGACCAATTGCAGCGGTCGCCTGAGAATATTCATGTGCTGTTGTGTCAGTACAATGCTCTTAGCATCCAACTGCTCAAGGCACAGGGTTTTCTTAATCATTTGTCCACACGCCTGCCAGCCACGCGTACCTATATTACCATTGCTCGAGATATTGACGTGTTTAGCTGACTCGTAGTACTCAATCATATCGAACAATGTCTCAGCGCTCTCATCAGTGAGGCCCGAATGTTCAAGATCAATTTTACGAAATTGTATCCTCTTGAATAGCTCCTCCAGTGGCTCGCAGTGTTTCTTCTCGAGTGACTCGTCCTTCAGGCTGAAGTCGTCACACCGACCGTTACAAATATCTAACTCCTGGTGGAAAATCATTAGGAGACAATTTGCCTCGCATTATTAGCCTGACTTTTACTGGCGGGGGGGAAGGAGGGTGGATGGGATTTTTGTAATTGTAGATATTACCTCGAGCTGATCTAAGACTTTTTTAAGAGGTTCCGCGCAATGACGCTCACATGATTCTTTGTATGATGATAGCAATATGTCCCGGCTTACATCCTCAGCTGTGCAAAAATTTATGGTACATATGCAAGTAGATCAACATAATCCATGATTAAGTTATGATTTTATTTGAAATTATTGTTACATGTATTATTTACTCGGTTAGGCTCCTCTTTATCTCTTTATTTTTTCCCCTTTTTGCCATCTTAATAGAGTAATGAGAGTGAATGACGGGTGGATACTGGATGATTAATGGGATAGACATGAAAATACAGCACTTAATGTCGGCCAAAAGTCGTATATTTCATTTTATTGTTGTACGATGCACATTACAATTGTTTATTCAGTACTAATATTAATAATATCTCCAACGAATGAATACATCATACAGTAACACATAAGACTGGAAATTAATCAAGTCCAGTTTGTATATCGTGACTCAGTGGTGATTATATTCTTCATGTACAGTTCTTAGTTCGAGATCATCGATAAGGAAGGTCAGGAATTTTAAATAAAAAAATTAATAAATAAATGATTCTTCATCTCTTTATCATGTGAATTATTCTCCAAACAAGTACGAAAGAAACTCATTATGTTTAGTCTGTAATTTCCTTTAATCACACTGATGCATCATAATAATCACGAAGAGGGAAAAAACACAAAAAAAAAGTAAGAGTTTGCAAAAAAAACGGAGTCAATACCAAAACAATTGTATTCAATACAATATTTCTTTCTCTGAGCACTGGTTTTTTCTCCTACGATTACAACACCACAGGGGTAATTCTTAACATACCGTTGCACTTAAAATTAGTATACAGTTCTGATTGTGAAATCTTTAGGACATTCTGTTGACTGACTCGGATGGTCTATAAAAAAGTATCAAACCCAGTTTGCATGTGTACACGATAAGGATTCCCTCATTATCAACACCAAGGATATCCTTGTATTAAAATATCGCCTCGATTTACATTAACAATCGACAATACATTTTAGAAAAATGAACAATTGATATAATCAGTCACAATACAGTCACATTCTGAGTGATGAGATGACAGAGATGATGTCGCAAAAAAAAATGAGAAAAATATCTTGAAAATGATAAAACAAAACTTACCATGCTCCCAGGGATTGGCTGGCTCGAGGTAACCAGTGACGAGATCCTTGTCGTTGTCCGGAAAACAGACCCTTCTGCCCTCCTTCCTGGCCCTTCCAGCCAACGCACTCCGTATTCTTTTACCATCGATGATGACATACTTGTGTCTACCACTTCTCAATGATTTACTCATCAATAAATCATTATTATCATTACAACAATTACCCAAGGACGTCTTAACCGACTTTGTTCCGTCCGTATCTGACTTTGTCACAGACGTATTTGTTGTAACAGTAGTTGTCAGTGTCGACGAGTAATCGTCAATAGGGTTAACACACTCGCTCATCGTGATCCTATTGCCCTTTTTATAACGTACCCCCTGTTACCCGGAATTATTTCACTGTCGTAACCAGTGTCAGCCTCCCCTCGAGCACAACCTGATATCCCCACCCTCTGCACCCCTCATTAAATTTTATTCCTGATGATGAAAGAAAAATGATTATCGAGACGTGACCATTATTCAATCAATCTCATTGTTCTCGTCTGGCCAGTTGTCTCTACTACCCTATTGCTTCCCTATTTCCATTACTGTTGTTATTATTTATTGTATTTTATTATTGTTGTAGATGGTTGCACGGTAATTGGGAGTCACGCACGTTATGGGGTCATTTTTTTTTGAGGGTGTGTTGGGAGACACCCGATGGGAATTTTAATGGCGAAATTAATTGAAAACACCCGTACGAGGACTATGCGAAATGAATACTACTCATTTACTACTTCAACACCACTTTACCACTACCCGTGCTTCTTTCCCACAGTCCGCCATCATTGTTGCCGTCTAAAAAACCAGAAAAAACCGTCGCTGTGGATTTTTGATGGGTCTAGGGGAATTTTTGGGTGACGAGTGGCGCGAGTGCGCTGGGGATTTTGCGGGGTGGGAACAGTGGAGTGCGCGCAGGGACTGCGCATATTGCAATGTTCAGAACTGTGGGAGTGCGAAAGGGGAGTGTTAGGTCTACAAACGGTACAAACGACCCCCCTCACTCTGGTTTGTTTATATTTGTGTGGGGTTTTTTATTGAGGGGTTTTGGCGTTTCGTTTGCGCGGAGCGAAGAGGAGAGAGCGAGCTTTTCGAGGTGAGTGATTTTTTTTGGTGTTTGGGGCAGGGCTTTTTGGGGGGTTTGTGGAGACAATGGGGGAGGTTATGTTGACACCGGAATGTCATCTGATTTGTTGGATTTGAAACTAGCTGCAGATAGAAAATTTAGTACGGTTTTTTTATATTTGCTTGTGGCTTTTTTATCGAGGAGATTTTGTAGAGGAGAGGAAAGAGGAAGTTTTTCCAGCTAAACTATCTTTTTTTAATTTTTGGGATGGGGTTTTTGGAAGGATTTTGTGGGGACAATTAGGGAGGTTATGTTGACACCGGGATGTCATCTGATTTATTGGGATTTGGATCTATGCAGCTGCAGATGGTAGATTTACGACGGTTTGTTTATATTTGTTAGTGGTTTTTTTTATCGAGATCTTGGTGATGAGTTTAGCGAGGAGAGGAGAAAGGAGTTTTTAGCAGTGAATTTTTTTTGGCTTTGGGGGTGATGTTTTCTTTTATGAAGTAAATTGAATGGATCTTCTTCTATCGTTAATATCTTCTGACTGAGTGATACGATTTGAATAAATCAGACCTCATTTTGAAGCTGAAAAATAATAATGCTTAGCTGATTTTTTTGAATGAATATGGAATTTTTACTTCGAAGCTATCAAATATTAGAAATAGCACGTGAGTAGTTTTATTTAAATAATGGATGGAAATCCCTTGAAGTTTTTTCATTTCATCATTCAGTCAATTTTTTTTTATTCGATTGAACATTCCAATAACGAAACTAATCATCAAGCTTTAATTCTGATTGCTGAATAATTGATAAATTAACGATTGGAGAATTCAAAAACAAAAAAATGAAATAGTTATTGCAAATAACATATCTCCAGAATCAATCCCCTCACATGTTCTTAGTCTCAATGAATTTATTCGTGATTTGCATTGTTAAACATTAGCAACAGCGGCAGTGCGTTTTTATTCCATAAATATCAACAAAATTCTATCAACTCGATTTACGATTTATCACTGAGTAAAAAATTAGCACTTAATGCTCGTTTCTTGGGCAATGAGGGCTTCTTCTTCTTCTTATTCGTGCGAGGGCGAGTGCTGGTGGTCGTTGGAGCGTCCTCCGAGCTCGAGCTGTCACTGAAATTCTCAACAATCGCCTTGTTTTTTATCTTCGACACGTGGATCGTGGCTGTTGCCACGATTCCACTCCTTCGAAACTTCTTCTTGGGGTCGGGTTTGGCTTTCTGCTGGGGCTTCGGCAGTTTCCCAACTCCAAACAGCCTCAGAGAGTCCGCGGGCTCGTTGGGAACAGCTGACTGCTGGTCCTCAGGAGGATTTTGATAGGCTTTTTGACGTTTGAATCGAATTCGCTTCTTCTTCGGGTTTTTTTGGGACTCGTCCTCGGGATTTTCCTCACTCACTTGACTCTTCGGAGCTCGTGCAGAGTTTCGTGTGCTTTTCTTACTCTTTTTTAATTCTAATTTGCCGGATGAGTTGAGGGACTCCAATTTTTTCGAACACGATCTGGAAGAAACGTTTATTTTAATTTGGAAAGACGAACAACCTTGATCATTTGGAGGAAGAAAAAAATTATAAATGAAAATTTTCGTTGTTCGGACGAGGATAATTATTTTTATTTATGAAATTGAAGAGTTTGATGTCATGATTTCTTCAACAAGAATAAATATCCTGTTTTTTTTAAGGATCTGAATAAGAAGTTTATTTTCATTTGAAAAGATGACTAACTTGATCATTTAGAAAAAGCAAAAGATCCAGAAATAAAAATATTCTTTATTTAGAGGAGAAACATTAACTTTGTTTATGAAATTGAAATGTTTGAAGTCCGCTGTGTGAACTTGGAGTCGAAGTTTGATAAATTGATTTTTTTTCTTATAGTATCGATTGTACTCAGTGAGTACCTAAATGTACCACATTCATTTTCGTTTGTACCCCGCATCCCTAGACGTAAGGGGTGCGGGAAAAATCGTGCAGCATCGGAAATGAAGGTACGGAAAAAATTTTCATGAGCAAGGATTCAGCATGGATAGTACTTGTATGTACTATATTTTTCCATTTCATTTATCAACCCCTTCAATACTTTACCCGCTTCAAAAAATCGTAAATGTATGAAGGACGTCAGGAAAACATACAGATAGCTTCTAAATCGTTAGTACTCGTTGGTACCAACGAAAATTATTCATTATTATTATTATTATTATTATTCTCATCAAATCACCTGATTCCATTTTTATCAACCGTAAAATCATCGTAATGGATTCCATATGTAGTTCGTGAAGTTTTGATGTGGGTACAAACGTCTCATCTTCCGTACTTCCACTCCCATCGCAGTACAAACGGAACAATTTACTGTACATGATAATGAGACCAAGTACAAACCATTGAGAGCTTCAGAAACAGTCATAGATTATTCAGAAAAATGGTACAAACGTTTTTCTGAATTTTATTGGTGTTTAGTGACGTGTAGGTGTTGGTACAAATGTCTGATCTCTCTTCCTTCTATTCTCATTAGAGTACAAAGTCAACAACTCGCAGTGCATAAGAATTGAGCAACGTACAAACAATTTCGGGACTGGAATCAAATGGAATAGGTTTTAAGGCTCTATCTCTCATAGTTTCCGAGATAATAGCGAAAAACGAACTGGCCAAAAAAAAATAATTTAATTCATCTTGTACAGGGTGTCGGAAGTGAAAAAACGCAGTTCTGCGCGGTCCATTTGCTGATAGGGAACCCAAATTTCCTTAGGAATCGAATGGAATAGGTTTTAAGGCTCTAACTCTCATAGTTGCCGAGATAATCGCGAAAAACGACATGGCCAAAAAAAAATGATTTAATTGATCTTGTAGAGGGCGTAGGAAGTGGAAAAACGCAATTCTGAGCCGTCCA